GAGATAGAAGAAGTCCTCGAGCCTCGCCCGGGACTCGTCTTCGGTCTGGCCGATTCCGCGCGGAAGCGCCAGCACATCTGCCACGGTGCTTGTAATCTCGAACAGTTTTTGGAGGATGCCGCTCCCGTGAAAGACGACGCTGGACACGCTTTTCAGGCGGGACACGAGGCTGCGGAGCTGTGCGGAGAGGCGCTGCGCCGGGAAATGAAGCGACAGGCCCTCGTGTGTGTTTTGTGTCGGCGCGGAGCGGAGCAGGCCGTGGGAGAGGGCTAGCTGCCAAACCAGGGTTCGGAGCCAGAGCCGGGTGATGAACAGGTCGACGTGTTGTAGTTCGATGAGCGTGCCGCACCCGGCGACAATCATTTCCTTTTCGTCCCCGACGGCATCTGCCTCGTCTTGGTCGAGCTGTGCCTGTTTGCTCTCTATCCATTGAGATGTTATCTCGGGGAGGAGGGGGTTGGGGACCTGCTGAGCAGCCCAGTATGAGAGGAAGGCGTCGTCCATGTTTTGGAAGAGGAGGATCAGGCGGTTCCATCCGACTGCGACGTGGGCGGCAAGAGTTTCGTCGTGAAAGGGCAGTCCGGTACGCAGAGGCACCATGGTGCATGGGAACCCGGACATGATGAATAGGAAGCGTTCGTGGATGTAGACCTCCCAATACATTCTCTGACGCCGGGCCAGTTCTGTATGGGTCAGACGACGGTCGCCCTGGCCATACTGATGCATGTTGAGCATTTGGACCATGCTGATGGCTTCTTGGAGTATTGTATAGCTTCGGTCAAATCGTTTAAAGGCCATGAGACAGATTTCGAGCCAAATACACGTCATGATGCGCTTGACGGTGATTGGCATCTCGCCTTGTAAACCGCCGTTATATCCATCACCTTCTCTCGCCATTTCAGCTTTCCTATGCGCCCAAAGACAGTATTGCATTAAGGTTGTCATTTGTGAAGCTATGTCGATTCCATTCATTGTCCACGACGTCTTGGTGAGGTTGATGGTCACTGATGCATAGGCATGTACTAGAGCAGCATCTTCAAAGTTGCTATGCATATTATGAATGGCAGTCCGTATCTCGGCTGGTGTCAGGACAGGGTTGACCGGATATACCAGTTCCTCAAACTCGGGGAGTAGCCCGAGGAAGAAGTCTGCCGAGAAGCCACACCCTCCAATCGTAAATGGTGGTTCTGAGGGCGGACTGCTTCCCAGGTTATCGACAATTCCAGCAATTGAGGTCACTGGGATGACGCCTGCTCTAGGCGACGACCCAGCTGATGAAGGGTCACCGCTAACAGAGCCACCAGCCTGGGCCATGGATGGCGGCGACACGGTTTGTGAGCTACCCGGTCCGCTTGTTGGTGTCTTGTTGCGTAGCTGAGCGACGAGACGGCCTCGAATGCCTGGTTTGCGCTTGGGTGGCGCTGGTGCAAATACACAGGGCAGATTGAGATGAGCGCACTGCGCGCATGGCTGGTCACCGTTGCATTTCACCTTTCGCACTCGGCAGGCATCGCAAGCGCGTGAAACCTTTCCTGCGGCGGTGGCGATGGCGGCTGCGTTCTTCTTGCTGCTCATCTAGACTCCGTGGTGCCGTCTACATGGACGGTGCTGTATGATTACACGGTTGAGGATGAAGCTGTGATGAATTTCCTTGGAGCTGTAGAGCGCCGTGATGTATAGGATGCCGCAAGGTAGGTCATTCTCCGGAACATCCCATTGTTCAATTGGCTTTTGGCCAGTCCATGAAGCTGCTGTCGATTATCGCTCATGCCCAGCTTGGGGCTTATGCGGCCTAGCGCGTGATGGTTCCCCGGAGCACAACAAATTTTATTCTGCAAGCACAGCCCCGCCGACTGTTTAGATGGGCAAGCTGCGTACGATGACGGCTTTTGGCGTTGAAGTAGAAGTAATCCCCGGAGAAGAAAAGCTGCAAATTTGTATCGGCACCGAGGTTTAATTGTAAGTGTATGAAGGGAAAGGCACATGGACTAATTAGTGCGAGAAAAGCGGGGGTTGCTGCGGGATCTCATATCTGGGCAGTTGACAGGACAGCTCCTTCCCTCGACCTGTCAAGTTGCCCGACATCGCTCACCGTGAATGACGCCGCACGCCACCACGACTTGTCACGGCTCGACGAACACAATGAGACGGCGACACGACGATTTGCCTCACACCAGTTGGCCTCCTATTGCGCTGAAATGTTTTGAGGCCGCTGACGGGTGACGGCACTGGCCCGCAAAATTGTTTCATCCTTAACCCTTTAGGGAACTCGGCGGACTTCATGCCGCTGGGGAGCCGACAGAGACGCTGGCGCTGAGAGATGGACATTGGCGATCAACCATCCATGGCAAACGCCATGTGGTGGCAAATCCATTCAACATTCGACGCTTGCACAAGGGGCTGCCGTCTTTTGCCGCCACGGCATGGGAAGCCATGTTCCAGAAGCTGATCTGCCGACCTCGCGGCTCACTTGCCGCGTTGCCGGGTCGAAACCATGACACAGATTCAAACATCGACTCTTAACGACGAGGCACAAGACATCACCGATCCCTTGGCTCAGGAGCACACACTTTGAGTATCCACAATTTGAGAGAGTTTTGCAATAAATTAGAAGGAGCTTATTTCAACAGACTTGTCGCTCAGCAATACTTGGGAGCACCGCCCCGAACCACCCAACCGCAATCAGTTTTTCCAGTCGAGTTGCTCGCTTCGTCGAAGACGCGATTCAATCCAGAGCTATACTTGGCCGAGTACGACGTGCTGTCGCTGCAACCTCCGCCCTGCCAGCCACCAATGTTTCCCACTATTGTTCCAAGCATCTTCTTGTTACTATACTTGGTCATGAAGACGGAACCGCTTGTCCCTGCCCTGAAGGGACCGCAGTTGAAGCCGAGTTGTCCCTCTCCAGCCCGATAAGTGGAGGTTGTGCAGCGCATAGGCTTTTCCTCGTTGAGATTGTAGCCAAAGACCTTGACCACGTTCTTGTACGAAGGGCTGAAATCGATTTTGTTGCCACCGGTCATCTTCTGGACAGTGACAGATCTGCCGTTAATAGTAGCGTTACCAAGGGTCAGGATGGCGTAGTCGTGGTTGATGCTAAAGGTCTTGTTCCACTCGTTATGGATATAGGCCCCCGTGACGGGGTAGGTTCCATATGGCGTAGAGCCATCGTGGTATCCGGGGGCAAAGCGCAGGTGCTTCCCGTCGCCGCGCATACAGTGCGCAGCCGTGATGATCATATTTCCCGGCTTGCTGGCGACGACGGCACCCGTGCACATGTGCTTTTTGGGTGAGTGGGTGTAGAGCACGCCCACCGACGGGATGCCCTCGAACCTGGTGGCCGTCGCAGCCGAGACTTCGGACGTAATGGCCCAAAGGACGGTGGTGACCGCGGCCAGAAGCATTGTGTGTGGATTCTATTGGCTTCAGAGGTGTAGTTGAAGAGGGCGGAATGTGGTAGACAGTTCCAAGTAGGTCTCGGGGGGGTGCTGATACTCCGTCCGTTCTTATATAGCTTCCCCATTCTCGCAAGCCCAAGGGCATGGCGTCGATCAACACGTGAAGTAATGACTTTTTAACATTTTGTGTGCTTCCGAACTAGGCTCTGTACCTGGGTCTTTGTAGCCCTAGATGGGAAATAAAAGCATCCCAGGACGGAACTAAGAGGCTAGACCGAGTCTTGGGCGGGGTGGCCTGGGTCGAGATTGCAGCACTCGCAAAGTGCCTGGTGCATGTGACTGTTTACAGAATGTGATGATGGCTTCAGAGATGCCGATTAGAGACGAAATCCTACTGTGTATGAAGACACCCGCATGCTTGGTGGGCAATTCCCAGTGCTCACGGCACAAAATTGGGCAGGCGATTTATTCGACAGTCGGATCCCTGGTGCTTGCTGATGCAGGTTTGTTGTCGTAAATGTTTACGAGTATACTACGAGATCTAACATGTCAAGCTTCGACTAAGAACTAGCACCGGGCTTTTGAGTTTCTCCTCCCCTCGACCACCCCATGGCTGGCCAACCACGCGGGACTTTAGGCACAGTAGCTCAGGAGGCTCATGAAATAACCATGAAAGGGCGACCTCAGCTTCCCAATATATCATTTTTTCCAGGGGAAAATTTACTACTTGAGTGGACCATGGATGGCGACGACGTCATCGTCTTGATGGATGACAACACGTTGATTCGCAGTGACGGCTCTATTTCCACAAAGAGAATATGAGGTATAGAAAAGACGTCAAGTAGCGGGTTCATGGTATATGCGGTAGTGATCTTTCTCTTGCTAGCCTCATTAGTATGCTAGTCGCCGTGGGCGTCGTTCACCTGGAAACGACTCAATATTCGAGTCACTGGAAACCACGTATGAGGTCAATTATTGGCCGCGAAATCGCACTAATCAGTCGAACCCAAGCATTCGGAGTTGATGGCTGCCCTTTTATGTAGACTGTGTACTGCAATGTATTCTCTACTCGAGGTGTGACAATATAGTGATGAAATCTATTAGAAAACCGGTTGTCCAGAAACTCAGTGACTCCTTGTCTCGTAATGGCATCCGTATTCAGCTTGGCCAGTCTCGGTTATCAAGATGTATGCTCGGTGGGGGACCTCTTACCACGAGTATCTGCAGATGCCGACAAATGATGAGAATTGCCATTTTTCTCCCAGAGACTCCAAGCAAAATACACCCGGTCGGGTAAATCTTGTACTGCACGACTGTCTTTATGCTCCGGAAGTATAGCCGCAGGAAACAACGAGACGCACCAGTTACATGTCCCAGCCCCTTTATCCTACAGAGTCGCGGAAATAAACCACAGGAGCCACCCGCACATACCATGTGAGCCCAAATTCGAATCGCAAACACCACGTCCAACAACCCCTGGATCATGCCCATCATCAACACCTTGCCGTCTCGGCCGTCGGGTCATGGCGTGCATGACCACGTACCCAAAATTCCGACTGCAAAAAAACACCGCAATTTATAGATTTCCAAGGATTCATCGGATCAATCAGCGTGAGATCGAAGCGCCTCAAGACCTGGCAAACCGTGTAAGCATGCAACCCACCAATCAGACAGTCTGCAAAACAAGGAACGGGCAGAAAGCCTCACCTCCACCAAGACCTTGTTCAGCTCCATCCGGGCAATGTTCTTGCCCAAGCACGCCCATTTCCCCGAGCCAAAGACAAGACCCCAAGTGGCCTCCATCTCCGGCGTCGCCCCGAGCCACCTCTCCGGGCGGAACTCGTCGGCATCCTCGCCAAACACGTCCCTCTGCCGCAGTATGCCCACCATGCACAGTCCTATCCTGGTCCCCGACGGGAACGAGAAGCCGTTCCAGCAGTCCCCGTCGGCCGGAACCTCCTTGGACATGAAGCCAGCCACGGGCGGCAGCATGCGCAGCCCCTCCTTGATGGTGGCCTGCACAAAGGGCATTTTGCGGATCTCGGCGTCGCCAGCCACGGGCCAGCTCAGCTCGGCCGCGCGAATCTCGGCCTGCAGCCGCGCCAGGACGCGCGGATTGGTCATGACGTGCAGCAACGTGGCCCGGATGCCGGTCGCCGTGGTGTCGGACCCGGCGATGCTGCCCGCCGCCCCCCAGCCGCCGTGTTAGTCCACAGTCTCAACACACTTGACTCAAGAAGCCGAGTCGGCACGGGCGAGTGCAACGTACATTTGCGCGGCAATCTCATTCTCCGCCTGCTCCTGCGTCAGTCCCCGGGCGACAAAGGAGCCGACCATGTCCCTCTGCGTCTTTTTGCTCGGCCCGTAGCGCTCCGCCGCCACCCTCTTTGCGATTCTGCACCAGCGACGTGGAAAAAGTCAGCAACCAAGGTCATCGTCATTGACGGCATGGGGGCGGTGTCATCACGAACCCTACTAGGCGGCCGATGCCGAGCACGTCGTGCTCCGAGGGCATGAGGGGCCGGAAGACGGGCAGCCCGAGGACCGGGATCATCCACGACATGACGGTGGACACAATCAGGTAGGGCAGGTAGGTCTCGATGTCGGTGACGAGGCTGTGCACGTCCGAGTCGGTCGTCAGGTCGCCAAAGGGCTCGCCAAAGGCCAGCTCCGAGATGACGTCGAGGGCGAAGAAGTGTATCTTGCGGGCGAGGTCGAACGGGCGCCCGTCGCGCACGTACGAGTCGAGCAGGCGGACCAGGTTCTGCACGGAGCTGTCCACCTTGGGCTCGAGGTGGTCGACCTCCTTGCCGGAGTACTGGGGCAAAAAACACTGTCAGCCATTGATCCTGAGCAGGGTGCCGGGCGCGTGGGATGCCGCCGTACCCCGCCGGCCATTTTCGACCGTATCACGGCGTGGAGGGCGTCGTCCCTCATGGAGATGATGTTGTTCTTGCTGGGCTCGAACCGCAGCCCGTTGTACCACGACGACCGTGTGTACTGCGAGCGCGCGCCGAGCATGTGCATGGCAAGCCTTGCGTCGCTGGTCACCACGTCGTTGGGCCCGACTCTGGCGACGGGGCCTGGAGGGCATTGTCAGTATTCCTTGGCCGTGGACCGTTTTCTGCGAGCAGAGGCTGCCGTACCGTACTTCTGGCACACCTCGTACAAGTCGAGGTGCGTCCTGCCGCCGAGAGTAGACCGCAGCAGCCACCAGATGGAGAATCCGGCGCTCGGCGGGCCCGGTATGTGTTTTAATCGACAGTACCGGTAGTATGTGCTTGCTGCCAGCCAGGCTAGTATGGCCGGCAGGGCCAGCCATCCGTACAGCACGGCATCCGACAGCATCTTTGGGCCCCGGTGTATATGGGAGAGTGGTTGAAACCGATATGGGAGCGGGAGAAACTTGGAACAATGCACTCTTTGCCGAGAAGGACGAAACTCGCGGCCTACTCGAGCGAATGAACTGGGGAATAGCAAGAATCGACGCCGGAATACAGGCCTTGACCATTCTAGATATATGTATACATGGACTCGTCGAATCCAGTCACCTTGCTAAGGAGTTGGCAAGGCTGCAGTCTGTGCTCCCAAGCCACACGCTTGGGGGACAAAAATAAAACTAGACTCTTCGAATATGCCCGTGTAAATAAATGACGACAGCCCAGCTTCCTGCAAGCACGCTCCTGACGCCGTCTATCCTTTCAGCCTTGGCCAAAATCCGCCCCATGGCGGGAGACGACGGGCTACGTGTCGAGGATCGGCGGGCATAAAGATAGTTCAGCGCCAGGCAGAGCCGGTGGCAGTCGCAGGCCCAAGCATTCTTGATAACTTTCAGCTTCTTCCGGGACAGGTCAGATAATTCCGGCCGTGATGCCAGACACGGCAACGGCTGCACGTTTGCCGGCGACATGTTCGTCCGAGGCCAGGCAATCTTGGTGCATCTCTACCATGTACATACACATGTATGTATGTCGTCGTCAGTCAGCGAGATGGGCAAGGCGTGCCATGGCCTCGTGGCGCATAGGCTGAAAAGGGCAATGCGTGTGACGCGCGCAGGGCTGCCGTATTGCCAGATTGGGGGCCGCCGGTTTTGCATCGAGCAGCCCAAGGCGAGACGTGCTGCAGCTAGTGTCGACCAGGACCCTATATAGTAACATGGAGTGTCAGCGAGCCCGCCGCGCTGCTTGCTCCTGCATGCCGTCAGTCTCTGCATGGGCCGGTCAAGCGGCCTGGCTGTCTGTCTGGTAGGGTTGCGTCGAGATCTTGGCCGCGTGGGCGTGTATTACTTGACTTGACATGTGGGTGGTGCGGATCGGATTGACAGCTCTGCGTCTGTAGCACCACTGACAAAATACAAAGCTAAAAAAAAAAGAGGCAGCCGTCTAAACGCCGAGCGGTTTATAAGTTGTACGTGAGGGCGTGGCAAGACCCCTTGCCGAAGGTGCTCGGCAGAGCTGACGGCCACGCTCAAGTGCTGGGAAGAAGGAGCAGAGCCGACGAGGAAATACAGCGCCGGCGTAGAAGCTCAAAAGTATAAATACGCTAGGGTGCTTTGAGAAGCTGATTCGAGTCAATGGCTTGGACTATACTCGCAGCGTCGATGGGGACGCAAAGGCAGACTCGACATGTCGGATCAAGGCCTCGATGGCTTCACCGGCGCCCGCCTTGCAAGCGCCAGGCGGCCTTGCGAAAGCCGAGCCGCCCCCGACTCCCCGATCAGGCAGGCAACAAGGCCTTGATCTTGTCACTCGTGCGTGCTGAAGTGTGTTTGCCACGTGTGCGTGACGGACAGGGGCCGTCGATGGCGCCAGATGAGGGAGGGCGGGCGGCGGGCGGCAAACGACGACGTTGACCAGGCGGCATGTCGAATTGCCCATCAATTATGCTACTGACAACTTGCAAGAGACGAGTCGCCGTGCTAGTAGTCAGTCCCTCTTGGCCGCCTGGTTCGAAAACCGACTGGAAGAAGAGCCGTCTGCGCGCATCGTGCTCTTCCCAGCGTCGGGCTCCCCATGCAGCAACTTGGCATGTTTGCACCGCATTTTCAGGCACGACGTGCTTATTATTGCTCAACAACATCTGAAGAGGGGATGTGGTGGAGAGGGCACCGATTCGGATATGCGACATGTCATCATGGCAGGCGGGCGTGTTGCACGGCATCTGTTCAGGCAACTCAAAATAGCGGCCCAGGTTTTACCAGCCACATGGGCATGAACAAGCATCTTCGGATCCATAGCCGCGGGCTGGGAAAATTTTTCAAGTGACATTGGTAGTACGTGCACTCCAAGAACATGCACGAACCAGACAGGGAGTCTTTTTTTTTGAACCCCAGCACACATCTTGCTTAGCCCTGGCTTGCGGGCGCCGGAGCCAGGCGGTTCATAGCCTCCCTTACATGTCTGGTAGGATTCAGCTTTCAGCTTGCGTGTCTTGCGGCGGGCCGCTCGCAAACATGATTAGCCTGGGGTTTGCATCGGGACGGACCCGCATGGTGTAAGGCTGATTGACGAATATGTCGATGCATGTAGCCTTGTTGGTGATGGAGTCGGCCTTTGTTGCGTGGATAGGGGGTCCTGACGCCTTTACTTACACATCAATAAAATATCGTGGCGTGGCCATGGCCATTTTTTGGACGACAGCATTGACGGGGTTGTGGGTTTGGCGGATTGCCGAAGCGACATGTGTATTGACATGATGCAATGAGTTGATATAAACCGTCTACTACAAGTGCCGCGCTACATGCATAAGAATTCTACAGAACAACTACTTGGCCTACAGAGCTAGGCCTGATGGCTTTGGACAAATAGCCATCGCTACGTACGACTTCAACAGAGTAACACCACGGCGACGCCGTGATCAAGTATAGGCCTCCCTGCAATACATGACAATGGCAGGAAACCCCGCAATTGTTGGATGCTCGACGGCTGTTGGGGACACCCAGGCCACGCATGGAAGCCGTGGCGTACAAGCCATGTCAGCCAGCCTGTTGTCCATGCCGAACCTCATGGTCACGTATTGTCCCGTTCTGCTCCGTGCATCGCAACCAACAGACCCATCATGACGAGGCGAGTGCTCGAACAGCGCCCGGCGCAGGAAGCACCTCCGTGCCGGGAACCAGCCGATCCGGCGCCGTTCCCACGGAGCTTCTACTCATTCAGCCTGGGCACCACGATACGCCCTCGCCCAGGACGACGGGCCGCGTCCCGCCATGCCCCGGCCGATGATGCCACCAAGAAGCTCATCTACACCATTGTAAAGGCCGACCTGCTCATCCCCGGCGCCGACGAGCCCGTTCCCGACGCGGCCCTCGTCGCGGAAGCCAAGCTCATCGTCTGGGTCGGCAAGCAGGACGCCATCCCCGCCGAGTACACGCAAAAGTGCCGCGGGACCTACTCGGTGCCGTACCTGATGCCCGGGCTCTGGGACTGCCACGCGCACTTCCTGGCGGGCGGCGACGACGAGGCCTCGTGGCCGGCGTACATGGGCTTCGTGGCCGGGCAGCCGGCGGCCGAGGGCGCGCGG